TCCAGTGTACTGTTTTTTTTGGTTGCTTTTGTTTATTTTAAAACAGAAGGTAACAAAATGCTATTTGACTGCCTGGCATCTATACTGGGGCAATTATTTTTTTTCTGCTGATGCAAAAGACTTTAAGGTTTAAACTAAACTAACCAGTTTACTCAATAAGGCAAGGGCAAAAAAACATTGATATTATGTAAACTGCTGTTACCATTTGCAAAAGTCAGAACTTTTGTATTCTGTGTGAAAAGTAAATCTGAAACCTGCTGGTACAAGTAGTGATAATTATGTACATTATCACTAATCCCCATGGACGTCATTTTCCAAGTTAATAAGCTTTAAACAAATTTAAAAACAGAATGCATTCAAAAGACAACACACAGTAACACACAGCAACAAGATTGTATCTTTTGTTTGGGTCAGTCTGATTACAGAAAAATCTGACAGTTTTACTGCACTTTGCAGATAAGTCACACTCATTAAATTAAAAGGGCAGGAGGTTTTGATTTTTAATACTCATATGGCTATTACCAAATAAATGACCATTGTGAAAATTCACAATAGCATCAATAAATAACTGGAATTTTCTGTAGAGGCCTTTAGTATGCTTGTATAGTAAATATGCGAATGTTACCATTGCTTTATTTCAATAGCATAAGCCAGTCAAGTATTTGCATTTTTTACATTGAAAATTAGAGTCTGAAATAATTTACAGCACATAATTCTTGTCAATCATGAATGACTGAAGTGAAATGTTTAGCAGCTCAACCAACAATTTCATGTGCAAATTCACCACCATAACCAACCAGTAAATGAACTTATGTCTAGCGGCTATCAACTCAAAGGCCAAGAGGAGCATTTGGAGCATTTGGATAAGCCAGCCTCCACACTATAAAAACGTTGGGGATTTCCAGCAGCCATACTGACAATATGATAGGGAATGCCTATGGAGTGCTGATGTTACCATGCAGATTAGGTCCTAAGGAAGAAGGGAGGAGGACGACAACGGTCTCTGAAACAAGACAAAAAGGGCAGAAACATGACCTACGATAGTGCTCACATGCTAAAAACTGGTCCAGACCAAGCATTCTGTCACCCGCAATCACTATTTTTTTATGTTTTTATTTTATCATTTTACAGGAATTACTTTTTGTATTTGTTTTAAAAGTTTACATTTTTATTTTCTTGTAAAAAAAAAAAAAATGGGTCATATTTGCCCGTGGTCAAGCAAACAAGTGCAGGGAAAGCAAGCTGTATCTATAATACTTCTCCCAATCAATCACATCCTTGGATGTCAAAAGAAGTACCCACTGGCTGGAAGTTTGGCTGAAAAGCTGAATTTTAATACCCTGTGGTGAGTGCGGACTTGCAGTGTTTTGGGTGCACAGGATGAAGCAGTAAGGTGTTGCATATAATAAGGCAACTTTTAAATAAACTGTCAGCAACAACTACCCGATGCATTCTAATCACCCCAAGCTAAAAATGTTAATAATAAAAAAAAAACAAAAAACTCCTCTTTCAGAGTCTGGGAGTTTTTTTTTTTTCTATAAGGCAAGGCTTCCTATTAAACCAAATACCTAATCTATCAGCCCGCTGTGATGATGTCCACAGGCTAAGAAAAAAAAAGACTTTAGCTTCAGGTTGAGGAAAAGACTTTGTGGAAATATACAAGTGGGCAAAGAAAGCAATAAGAGAAATGCTAATAGATACTTTAAAATGTACAACCTGTGCCAGGCTATGGACATTAAACATTTCACTGCTCACATTTTTAAATAAAACATTTTAAACCTGAAGATTACCTAATATTTCCGGGCAAGCTGAGATCCTGAAATGGTGGTACTTTAATTTTTTTAAGTGACAAGATTTTTAGTGCAATGGTTTATCAAACACATAATTTCACTATAGTTAGTTAATTTTAGGGCACACAAGCGCAACATATTACCCTTCTTTTTCTTTTTTGAGAATATAATAAAAGATGAGGTTGCACCAAAAAAAAAAATAGATACCCAACATTGCCATGCCTTACAGCATAACTCCAAGCTGGTCCAAATTATTTACATTCACTAATAGATGCAGTGGCTGTGATAGGCTGTATAAACTGTAAGTAAGACTGCATTACAGTATAGAGCGCTTGCTGTTCAGCTACATACAGTCTCGAGAACCGCTCTTTTTCCAGCCAGCAGGACAAAAACACTTCCCCTCCCACTCCTGGAAACAAAGGTAAGATCGCAACAGCTACAACTTCGGCTTTGTCAGAATTAGACATAGTTTTTGTAAAACCCTACGCTGCTGCTAACCAACGCATAACAGTACAAGTGATAATGTATTATGACTTATATGGCAGCAAAATGGTTAAAATTATTTTTCCATACAATAAAAGAGAATTTACATCTGTAATTTCACCAGGTGAAAATAGGAGGGAAAAAAATCCTAAAAAGATAAATCAAATGCAGCCAGCACAACTACTGATGATTGGTAAGCACTTGCAATATGTTTCATTTTTGGTTTTGGGTTCAATTCAGCTTTAATCGTCTTTGTTGTGAAATTTGAAAAACAAATTCCCTACAATGCCTGTATCTGCATAAAGGTTGAATTAGGGTTTGTGGTAAAAGTGCTTCTACAGATGTTGGGATAAAAGGGTAATAATTTAACTTTGCTATAGTTGGGCCACAGGTAACATTTAAACAAAGTTCTGTCTGCACCCTGGATAGCATTAGGAGTTCAACCGCCCAATTTAATTTGTTCGTTATGCTTAATACTTCCATAATTATTGTTTTTTAAATAAATTTATCTTTCCCCAGCTTGAGCCCTTGACACTGTCCCCTGTAACTGCACAACCTGTATCTAGAATATCTCAGAGAGGCTGCTGTAGATAGATTAAAAGATAATTTTATTCATTTATCTTAAAAAGATCTGCTTGTATGAAACAATCAGGATGAGTAAATATTTGCTCTGGGGTCAGCATCTATTATGAACACTAGTTGAGTAATAACCATGGGGAGATGTGTTCCTGGAGAGGACTGATGTGCATACCAGTCATTTGTTAGGTATTTCCACACCACATGTTTAATTGGGCTGTCTTAGTATCAACGAGATGTCAACGCTAGGTAGACTAATGGCGGACCACCATTACTGGTAATAAAAATACCCCTATTAATAACGGACCTAGCCACAGACATAACCCACGTTCACAATGCAAGTGGTCTCACTGGAATTTATAATAATCAATTACAGCTGATGAAAATTTAAATGTTTAGCATCATAGCTCGCAATTAGGATGATATTTAATAAACTGATAGCATGAGAAATTATTTATAATAAAATAAAAAGGAACACTGTAGTGTTAAGGCCTTAAGTCTTCACATGAGACCAGTTTCCATTACTTGTAACCGCAACTGTAAACCTTCAATTAAAGGAGTAATGTGTTTGCTGGGTTTGCCAAGAAGTGTACTATGAAGTGTTATGGAGGTGAACGCCACCAGGAAGCTCAAAACAAAAAAGGAACTTTGTTCACTACAAAATTAACAAAAAGGTATAAATTGATTGCAGATACAGAAAACCTTGCCACATTTCAAATTACCGGTGCAAATGAGGCTTGAATCACACATAACAACCACAGACAAGTTTCTTCTCTTAACAAGTATTTAAAAGGATGCTGGCAGTAATCCACATTAATTCTAATTTAGTTTACTGAGGCAATATAGGTCCAATGGTTATTGACAATGAAACAGAAAACAGCAATCTGCCATGGCCTCAACACTCCACATTTGGATGGAGATTACTTTGGTTAGCAGAGTTACTAAACCGCTGTCAGTAAATCAACTGACTGCCTAGGAGATCTGAATGTAAACAAAAATGGTGAATTTGAATGTACCTACAATGTCTCCTAAAAAGTCCAGATACAACTTTATTTCTATAAAGTTAGAGGGACAATCCAAAAAGCCCCAACACATTTGGCAGCACAATCCAACTGCTGACAAGGCCTGTGGCTTGCAATCACACTGGAATTAAATGTATGTAAAAGCGCCTCAGGAGAATCTGACAGCGCTATATAAAGTACCTGTAATAAATAAAAATAAAATTAAAGATCTACTCACATATATTCTATTCACAATCATGTCTTGAAGAAGGGGGGGCACTCTAGGACCCCAAAACACACTCGATACTTTTTGGAGCGTCACCCTGACTTTTATTGGTAATAAAAGTTGAATCAGAGCCTATACAGTGTGTGATTGCATCATTTCCATTTTTTCATACATTACACTGACAAGCCAAGGAGGACCATGGAGATCCTCTGGAGTGTAGAAGCCTGCCTCTGCCTGAGGAACAGAACATTTACCTCAACATCAAGAAACTTTATGATAGCAGTACCAGAGAGCTAACCCAGGGGTTCAGTGCCAACTTTCCCTCAACTGAGAGGATTCTGGAAAAAAACTGTAACCTTGAATCTCCAGGGATGGTATCTATGCCACAACAATCTTGCGAGTGGGAGTACACTACTGTTCCTATCATGGACAGATAGTGTTGTTTCTTCCATAGCTACTGTTGATGCGCTTAGGTGCCATCTGGCCTAAATATATTACCAGAGTGTGCTGCTGTGTCCATAGCATATGAAGGAAAAGATCAGGGTAGGCCCATTGAGCTGCAGTATTTTGGGATGTGCGGGTGGACACCTATTATTAGCAGTAACAGAGTTGAAACAAGTAATAGGTAACAGCAGAAATTTCCTTGACAAAGCGGTTATCATCAACATGATGCCCAATACCTCCTTCCCCCATTCCCTATCAGCTTTAAAGAAAATGGAAAGGCAACTGATGATAAAAACAACAAAATGCAACAGAAAATGTAATGAAAAGGCTTGTATCACCTATTATTTACCATGGTTTATCATGCCACAGTCATGCACATGCATATGTGCTTTGCAATTCATTCTTTAAAACAGATTCTTGAAGCCACCCGCGATAGCAGAAATACTGCCTACAAGGGCAGCACACGGCTTGCGCAAAAATCACAGGGTGATCTTCCGAGTAATCTCCTGAACGGGGAGAGGACCTGTACTGTAACAATTACAGATCTCTCCCCTGTCAGGCGTGCTGCACAACTGCTTTGTATACGCTCTACATAGCATAGCCATACAAAGCAGTGTGCTTACAGTGAAGTGCAGCACACATCCCCCATAGTGAAACAGCAAACAGTTAACCCTTTGATTGCCCCAGATGTATTAACCCCTTCATGCCCAGTGATGCCATTAGTACAGTGTCAGTAACTGTTTATTAGCACTGATCACTGTATTGGTGTCACTGGGGATATATCAGTGACATCCAAAGTCAGTTCCCCCCAGTGTAGAAGACCCACCACAGTCCCGTGGCTGTCCCAGCTACAAGTCACTGATCGCTATTAAAAAAAAAAAAAAAAAAATTCCAGTATATATAACGCCATATGTAAGCGCTCTAAATCTTTTAAGTAAACTAATTAATTTACATGTATTGGGATTTTGTTTTTAAGCAAGACAAGTAGCAGAATACTGTACATAGTTGGCCTAAATTTAGGATGACATTTTGATTTTTAAAACTTTGTTTTACTGGACACGTTTAATAGCAAAAAGTCAAAAAATATTGTTTTTTTTTTTCCTCAAAATTGTCTTTTTATTTATAGCGCAAAAAATAAAAAAAGCGATCATAATACCACCGAAAGAAAAGCTCTATTTGTGGAAAAAAAAAAAGACATAAATTTAATTTGGTGCAGCGTTGCATAACCGCACAATTGTCAGTTAAAGTAATATAGCACTGTATATCAGCAAAAAATGCCTGGTCAGGAAGGGGGGTAAATCCTCTGCAGGCCAACTAGTTAAATTGCACCCTGAAACACACAGTGTGCAATAGCACACCTGAACATGCAGATGCAGTACCACGCTGGTTAAGGCTAGTATCTGTGCTGTACAGCAGCAATTCCTGGAGTGACAGTTTAATCTAGGGTGGCAAAAAGAAATGGTTTGCATGGCCTCACCCACTATCCAACTTTAGGAATACACGGTTTATTTATTTTTTTATTTGTGATCAAAGGGTAACATGAGGTTTCCTCCTGTTTTAAGAAAAATCTCATGTGCAATGTAGGCAATAAGAAATTGTTTCAGCAAATCAGTCAGCATATGTTTTCTGTAAACTATGACAATGACACACGTTATCCTTCAAACAGTGCTAGCCAACTAAGTTGTGAATGATAGAACACTTTCAGTAGACACTATGTAGTTACCCTTTTATCTAGGAAAGCTTTTTTCCACCTAAGCATGTTTGACTACGCAGCAACACAACAAGAGGAGGCGCAAGATTCACCAAGCAGTACTATTCTTAAGACTCTGTTCCCTGATGACATCCCTAAAGTAACCGGCTTAATCAGAAGTAGTAGTAGGTTGGATATGCCTCCTCCGATGATGTCAAAGTCCTGGCTGCTCTTTCAAGGGCTATAAGAAATGGAGGGTGCCTAGGCGACAGTTCGCATATACAGCTGAGTGCGCCGCTTCTTCTAATTGTAAATTATACTGTAAGTACAGAAAATACACTGTACCTTATTTAGGCAATATAACTTACAGCCTAGTACAGACCTCTAATTATTAAAGACCACAGGTGTACAGGTTGTTTCATTGCTAGTGGCAAGGTCCTCTTGTATTAAATTTCAAGCCTGAAACCCCCACCTGAACATTTTTCAACAAACCATAAAGAGATGGGAAATTAAACATTTTACAATCGTCACCAGAACAACAGTGAGAGGGTAAAATCTTTCAATACGGATACCTGTTCTGGCTGTCTATGAGGGGATGTCCCCCCATTTTGTTGAGCTTCCCTCACTTCCCAATTTTTCCAAGAAGTTAAGGGAAATCTCCTCAATGGGAGGCAGAAAGCAAGAAATAAAATGACAGGAGTTTGAAACCAATTCCTACACTATCCCAAAAAACATTACACGACTCTAGAACACCTTTGTATACAAGGTTTCTTAAAGTCTTGGCAAAGAATGTCCCACTTTATTAACCAATGAACTGCCGTAAACAAAAGACAAGCCTTGAAAGCTTACTCAATATCCTACCTCTTCCAGAAGTGATGAGGTCTGGATGAAAGATATACCAGATAATTCCCCATGTACGAGGACTTCTGCATAGTTCTCAGTTCCCAATAGTTGTTGGCATCTTCTTCATGATGTAAAATGTCTTTCCCCTTGGATTTACAATAAGCTGTAATATATTAGGAAAATAAGTTAAAGTTGGGAAGTATAATCATAATAGTTCTGCGGGATGTGAGAGAAGTCATTAAATGGCTGCTATTTCTAATGGCAGCCCTAGGAATAAAGAATCACAGTTTTCTCCTCGATTCTTTACCATGTCTTAAGCTTGTAAAACATTGGGTAAGTTGTGTATCTGCGTTGTCCCTCCCTTACAATTACCAAACTCTTTACAAATCTCCTTTTTTATGGGTCACTATCTTTTTAAAGATATACTTCAAACTATGGCAGTAGTGGATCTCCTAAGCAACGTCTGTTCCCCTTCTCTTCTATCATCTCCCACGTTTCTTACCAGCGCTCCAGTCTCCCCTTCAGTATAGTATTACAGCTGGATAGGATACCAAAAGGTCAAAACTCCAATTTGTGTAATTACCCATATATATAACACCTACAGTACATGATTAATATAAAACACCAACTGCATGAATAAAGTATTTTTGTAAGGGGGCACTGAAAGATAACCCGTTTGTGCCAGTATCCTATAGATATGCATAACTCTCCTAGTTGGGTGCTAGAAGTGAGGCAAAATTTAGATTTTGGGCTCTGCTGTAGTAGGGGAGCTGTGATTGTGATTTGCCTACTCTGGGTTCTGCAGCTGCAGGCTTACCTATATCTCCCTGTCTTTTCAGAAATCTCTGGAACATAGTGGGTGGAGAGGGTAAAGTCTGAGATGGCCCTGTATACAGCCTCAACCAATCCCTACTCAGATAAAGTGACCAGCAGAAGGCTGAGAGAGGTATATAAGGAATGGAGCAGAGAGTAGCTGGGTCCTTTGACTGCTGGAGATTGACCCACCCTGGGGAAAGCTGTTAAACCTTCCAAGGTTTAGGAGGAGCCTTAAGAAGTTCTGGATGATTCTAGCTCACCAAGGAGAACGATCACCCCCAAAGTCGCAGGAACACCAGGGCAAAAATCTAAAGAGGCTATTCCTGGATAACTTGTGTCAGAAGCAAGTTGAAGTGAATGAGGCCTTCAGACTGACCTGAATCACAGTGAGTAGGCCTCAGAGAATCCTGAGAGAGCAAGACCGTTGCTTGTACAGCCCTTCTTGATAGAGGGACTGTTCCAGACCTGCTATTAGGGCTGCACCATAGAGGAAAGCCCCCCCTGTGCTAAAGTTTGTTGCTACCTTTGCAAGATAGTGTCCTCATTCAAGTTGTTTAGTTCTGGATATTCCAAAGCTTTTCCCACTCCCTAACCCCAGTTCTACAAAACAACTAAAACAACAAAAAAAACACTATCTAGATTACTGTCTGAGGACTGTGGAATTTAACACACCCAGCTGAAAATACCCTTTGCCTGGCTGCTTGCATATTATGGGATTGGAACCCATGTTAACAGCGAGGCTAACCACAAAGACTGCACTACACGTGCCTTTTTGGAAATTGGAATTCCTAAGATTGTGGATGGAGTAAGGGCAGGGTAGGGGTCAGAGCGTAATTTTAGGTGAGGACAAATGGTGTTTAAAAGTGGGAGGAGCTTATAAGATAGGATCTGGAATCTATGTTATAATAAAAATTAGTTACAGCCCTAGTCATATGCAGCCCACATAAAAAAAAATATATTACCATTTGAACAGTGTCCCCCTTCCATTCCTTTTGTCCTCTAGAGCAAATTGGCCTGTTGGCCTGTTTGTGCACCTCCTGTGCTGTGCTGCCTGCAACGGTGCTTTGCACCTCAGACACTGCCTGCCCAGACCGGTGCTAGACATGTGCAGAACGGAAAAATGTGTTTTTGTTTTGGATAGATTTGTTATGTTACTGATTTTGTTTCATTGATTTCATTTTTGAAAATCACTTAGTTTCATGTATTTTTTTTTAACCAATTCCATATTTTCAGAATCAAATATCGATCAAAATTCTGAATACAGAATAGAAGGTTGTTAAGGAGCGGGACAGCAAGCCAGTCACAGCGTCCTTAACAACCATAACTCTTCTGCTGTCAACAGGATTCCCTGCTGTCAGCAGAATGTAAACAAAACTAAAACACAGTATGGGGGAGCTCCCCCCACCAATCCCTACCAGAAGAGAGATTGCCACCCCTCTGAACTATACCAGACCGCATGCCCTCAGCATGGGGGGGTGCTTTGGGGCAGGGGGACTGTTGATTGGGACAAGGGCCACTTCCCCAAAACCCTTTCCAGATGGTTGTGGAGATCTGCGAGCATGGGGCCTTATCAGAATCTGGAAGCCACCTTTAACAAGGGGGCCCCCAGATTCTGCCCCCCATGTGGATGCGTATGGGGACCCCCACGCTATTTTTTTATTTTGGCGTGGCGTTCCCATTAAAATACACACCACACCTGAAGGGCCTGGTACGGATTGGGGGGGGGGGGGGTTTGCACGTTATTTTATTTTTTGTAACCCGCATTAGTTTTTTTTACATTCTGCTGACAGCGCGGGAATCCAGCTGACAACAGATGAGTCATGGTCATTAAGGATGCCACAGCCAGCCTGCTTCCTTAACAACCAGCTATTAGCAATGAATTTGCATCATTCCTTTCATTCAGATGCTTCAAAACATCTGAATGAAACAAATTCATTTTGTTTGTATTGTTATTAGTTCTTTTGGATTCGTTGATATTCATTACTTTTGTCATTCGGAGATTCGGATACATCAGAATGTCTGAATAACAAAAATTTCATCAAAATTTTGATTCAGAACGAAACAAAACCGCACATATCTAGCCAGTGCACACTAGGCCACTGCCATCCACTACCACCACCTGTTCTTTTCAGCATCAAAGTCATCATACCCTCCCTGGTCACACAACAGCCAGCACAGCCATTTTTGTCTGTGTCTGTCACAAGCATGTTCACAAATCTCTTCATCATCAATGCTTTTTGACACTGAGGGGTCGATTCACTAAGGGCTGTTTCACACTAGATGCAGTCCGTGCATTTT